CTCATCCATCATCTCAACCTCCACATGTTTAACTTCCACCTCGCTCTCACACTCTGCAGAACGAGCCTGGACGTGAACTGTGAATTAATCAGCTGCCGACGTGATCCCTGCTCAAAGTCTCACCTGGTTCAAACCAAGTTCATCGAGATGATCAACAGCCTCCTCGAAGTGAAGCCAAATAATCTTGATCGCCCCCTGGTGGCCGGGTGCAGCACAGATCATTAACCTCGCCCCGTCTTTGTCAGAAGACATATGAAATGGACCAAACTAAAAAGTCAGTAAAATTCTCTCTGAGATTGTTTGTTCTCGTCTTAATTCGATGCTATAAAAACAGAGTGATTGAGAGCTTAGACCATTGGTCGTGCACGTATTGGCAGGACCTGGATACCGCAGCTCCACACTATGATCACTGTTTAGACTCCAAATGACTTTAATAGATGGCGACGCCTGTACCCAGGATGTTTTAGCTTCATTTTTATGCAACAGGAGGGAGTGGAGACGTGTCGTTCATCTGTATTTACAATCTGTGGTTCGTGGTCTCTACTGTCGGATGGTTACCAGTACCTGGTCACAACTTATACATTATTTATTACGTAGCTCTGTTTTACCTGACTGGATCAACACGACAATGTTGAATGAAAACAAGTTTTAAATAGTTTCCTTGTGTTCGTCTTTCTTCTCTATTGGCTGCTGTAATTTGCTTTAGGTCAAAATCCCACCAGAGGAGAGACCCTCTCATTTAAAGCTGCAGATATGCATCAGTTACACACACACACACACACACACACACACACACACTGGCTTGGGCTTGGGAAGAAGAGAATTAGAGGAAAACCATAAAGACATTTACGAGCAGCCCCATGGCAGCCATCACCCAAACAGGGCCGCCGCCGCAGAACCGCAGGGGCAGAGAAACCCTCCGTCTGTTGACTCCACAGATTAGTGACTTAATATAACCAAACAAAGGCGTCCTTTCTCTCCGCTGCACTCAGGGAATATGCTGAAGAGGGAGCAGAGGAGAAACCACAGCACAGTTATACAATCTATTTTCTTTTTGCTCCCAGTGTCAGTGAAGTGGCTCCGCTGCAGTTTGTTCGACTTCGGCGGCGAACATGACCGAGAGCAGTGAACGGTCTAGAACAGATCAGACCTCCAGACAAGATCTCCGACTGTTTTCCACACGCAGTGTTAAAGCGTTGACGTCACACAGCCCGTCCAGATAATAAAGTGTTAAAACAACACGTGGTGCAGTGGAAACCTGGACATCTGACGAGGGCAGGATCAGCCTTGAGGCAAAGAGTCTCAATTAGTGGCTTTAAAACTAAACGGACAAAGAAATGTGTTTATTTGAAAATGTAATTTCTTGAGTAGAATATGTCTTTCCCCCAGATTCTATTGAAATGTCACATGTGTCCAGACAAGTCAGCACTTTTGAGAAATCCTAGCTAATCGTGTTCATGCAGCACCTCTCCAAACTCTTTCTGTTTCCTCTCGAGTCATTTCGAGAGAAACTTCTCAGGTTATGAAAATCTACAGTAGCCTAATAATAATAATAATAATAATCTGTAGTAACTGTTTTGTGAAATCTTGTTTTAAATTTCTTTAGATGCACACGGAGACGCCGAGAGACCATTCAGTAAATTAGTGGCAGAGTCTGTAACCAAAACAGACGCATCATCTCCATAACAGAGGCGAGTGTGGAGTGTCACGCTGGACATCGTTTCACTTCTGTTGCTCTCACTCGCCGTCGCTGCCACTCGCTCTGCCCCGGAGCGATAGCAGCAGCTGTGTGTTTCTGAGAGATGAATGTGAGATGTGCAGCTTCCTCGGGCTGAGGAGCAGGACACTGACTGGTTATGTGAGGAGGTTATGCAATCGTTTCTTGTTTTCTCTGATCACTCGTGTCCGTTACCTTTGCCAAGGAGGTTATGTTGTCACCCCGACCACTCGCTTGTTGTTTTGTTTGATTCTTGTCGGCAGGATTACGTAAAAACTACACGACACATTTCCACGAAACTTGGTGGAAGGATGAGACATGAGCCAAGAAATATCCCATTACATTTTCTGGACCAAGGGGAGGATCCAGGATTTTTTATTTTGCTTTCTTGACAATGCGTCTTTTGGGATTTTCACAGATTTCCCCACATCAGAAACATTTAGAGGACTGATATCCATCAGTGTGTCCAGTTTAGTGCAGCTTGATTGAATTTAATTCAAGTGTTTGGCCAAACTGTTCTAGTTTGTGGCATGAAACTGTGTCACAGAGGCCGAAGGGAGAGGACGGCAGATCGTCGAGCATGTTTGCAGTCACATGATTTAGTCAAAACAACGAGTTCAGACAAAGTGTGGAAGAGAGGAGGGTTCACTTGCTGCCAATAAATCATGACAACAGCACCAGACTAAACAATGGAAGTGTTGGGATTGTGAGAACTGGGTGTTTCCTGGTGACCTCCTGGTTCTTCTGCATTTGTGTTTTGGCTCAGACTTCTCCACCAGAACTCAGGCTACGTCCACTTTACTACATTTTCAAATTTCTTTCCACACAAGCATTCTGTCTCCATATACTCACACGCCTGGAACATCTTGACTGCCTGCGTCTTTCTGCGTACATCCAACCCTCTTTGTTCTCCGTCTGCTTGAGGAGCAGCCCGTTACAATTTAATGGTGCATCACTTTGCAATTAAAAAAAAAACCTGAATCAGAAGTTAATCCACGTCTCCCAGCCAATCAGAGTAGAGAAATATCCACCGTATAATGTGACCGGGTGTGGTGTCGTTTTGATGTGCGGGGTTGACGTCAGATTTTGACGTTTGTAGCTCGTTCTGCAAAAAAAAAAACAGATTTTCCTCACAATTGTGCGTCTGTTTGAGCTGCAGGAGCAACAATGTGGGTCAGTCACATCGTGTCCCTCTGTGTCTGTGTTATGGCTCGAGGTTAAGAAGGAGCCGCACCGGGGTCTGACAGCTGGGCTGATATATCGAGCTCTGGTACCATAACTCATAACTCTAACACACTAATTACAACCACAGAGCACCGCTGCTCTGAACCCTGTTCCTTATGACTGTGTGTGTGCGTGTGTGTGTGTGTGTGTGTGTGTGTGTGTGTCAATGAGACACAGTGAAAGCACAAAGACAGATATTATTCATGTTTTCTGCATTAACTGTACAGAGCGATATTTCTATAGAAGTCTGTGAGAAAATGACTCTACTTCTCATTCGATTTATAACGTCAGTAAAGTTTTTAGTTTAAGTTTGTGTCTCAATCTCTAGTTTCAAGTCGTCTTCGACACATCGTGATGTTCATTTTGTAAATTATGATCCATTTAGTGTCAAATACATGATAAAGCTCTACTTGCATCGGGGCGTGGATACAGTGTGAATGACAGCGGGTAACCGTCCAACGGTTGCAGGTGTGGGCGGATAGTGTCCTCCCTCTCTCAGTTAGGCCCCACCCCTGGCTCCTCCAAATATGGTTACTTCTGGTTTCAAATGATGTTCGACAAAACGCCAAACTGGAAACTTCAAAAGTTTTAAAGTTAGTGTAAGGATATAAGTTCAGGTTGTGGTTAGTGTGAAGGTTAGAGTAGGTCTCAAGAAAATCAATGTGGGTCAATATAATGTCCTCTGAAGTCAGAGAGAACTGAGTGTGTGTGTGTGTGTGTGTGTGTGTGTGTGCGTGTGTGTGTGTGCAATTGAGCGAAGACTGACACCCTTGCCCCACCTCCCGCTGATCTGACTTGACCTCAGACCCTCCACCTCCAAAGCTGGAGAGATTAAAAAGCAGCGACTGACCAGCTGATGAAAAGTGAAGCTTCAGACAAGTCAGCGATATTCAAATCTCCAAAACCCTCAATATTTATTACACACACACACACACAACATGACATATCTCAGTCAGGTACTGGAGGTCGGAGCATCTTTTCTGAGATTAGATATTTACATTAGTGAGTGTCTGGTTTCAGCCTCCTCTGGTTTTTACATTCCACACAGACAAACACAGCTGGGATGCTGCTTTGCAGGTCGTCGTGGAGACGGCGGGGAATGAATAAAGATGGCGGGGAAACTGAAAGAGAGAGAGAGCTTTTCTTTCATCAGGTCACACTCGCTGACATCTATTCAACGTGTCCGCGTCGTAAGGACCCCGACGTTACACGGAAGTCTTGATCTTTCTACTTTGCTTTTCTTTGTCTGTCAAACTGTCCTGTCACATCAATGGACTGTGTCTCTTTGCTCGGACGGGTTCAACAAATACGAGGGAGATGGTGTAAATGTGTTCGTTGTCGTACTCTTGGGCTTAAAACTCAACAGATTATACTGGTTACATTAATTTGTGGCTGAGGTGAAAACCATTGTTCAAAAAAAGGTTTAGTAACATTTTACAACAAAGTTCTCAGTCGCTGTGATGAACAAAACATGCCATGACACCTGACTGATGCAGAGGAACATGGCTCTCGCCCCACCACCCTTTCAGTGACCCTTGACCCCTCACCCTCGCACCCAAAGGTCAATGTCCCATCACAGCTCTGAGAAAGTCTGACTGCAGCAGGGAGCAAAGTGAGCCTTGGGATATAATTTTATTTTATTTTTTTGTTATTTCACAATCTAATAATCAATTATTACAAATGTTTCCAAATTAAAATCAAATGCATTGATTGATGTCTGTCGTTTAAAGCTCACTAACGCCCCCTACTGTCTCTAAAGTGCATGAGCACTTCATTTAAAAAGAATCTCTCTGCCACCTCACGTTTTGTCTTTACAGAAATAAACTTCTCATCACACAGTCCCGACAATTAGGTTCATATTTTACAGGAACTGAAATTAGTAAAACCTGAAATTATTAAAAATGTAAGTTATAATCAGTCCATGAAAAAGATAACACATTTTTTTAACTACCATACACAACCCAATGTAATAGTACAAGTACTGTGGTGAAAGCAGAATGAATACTTTGAATACTTTGAATGCAGTAAGTTTCATTACGACATTGCGACTTTTATTTTGGTAATTCTTCCTCATCCGCTCTGACACCGGAAGTGACGCTCAAATGGCGTCCTCCTCTGCCCGGCTGGCTCCACGCTGGCTAACAGCCGCGGTCTCTTCTGGAAACCGCAGCGGTCGTCTCGTCGTCGTCTCCTCCGGACATGCGGGGCTCTGCTCGGGGACGGTTCCGCCGGCTCTCCGGGCAGGGTCGGCGGTCAGCCCCGGCTCCTGGAGACCCGGACACGGGGTGACATTGAGGGGAGACACAGGTGCGATGCTAAGTGTTAGCATCACAGTCAAAGTTAGTGACACTGAGATCTGAGCAGAGGTTAAGACGGAGCTCCTGATGCGGCCGATGTTACATCATCTGGAGGCCGCGATTTCAAAAGTCTGCCTCTGTTTACTTCTTCACCTCGATGGAGAACGTCACCAGGTCGAGGAAAGGAATGAAGGAGACGCTGCAAGGAGTTAGGAGAGGAGAACCAGCTTTATTTATGACACAAGAACCACAGACGGTCTGAGTTCTCTGACTGTCACGTGTCCTGAGAGAAGATGTTTTCAGTTCATACGAAGAGACAAAAGAAATAAAACTTACTTAGAGCGAGATAATCTAATGACGTGAGGGAAATATATGGAGAAAACCTTATATAAGTGGAAACATGTTATGGTGTCCGTTCCACAATTAGGGGCTTGACATTACTTTTATGTTTGTATTTAGTTCTAATTCTTATTATATTAAGTTCAACCAGCTCGTTGTTGACCGGCTACATGTGATAAAAGAAGTCAGGAGCTCAGATGATCAGTTTAGGAATCACATCAGTTCTGGATCGTGTCTTGAGAACAATATAAAAAACAGTTCTGTTAATTTTACATTTATGCGGATCTGCTCAGGTGCCACTCCCAGGCTGCTCTGGCCTCATTGATGTGGGGAGTACTCTTTATATAAAGTTCCTCTTTACATCCTTTTCTCTGCAGGGGTGAGATTCCCTCATGTCACCAGCTGCCGATCCCTCCACACCAGCAGCAGGCTGACAAACAAGCAGGACTTCTACGAGGTGTTGGGTGTTTCCCGTGACGCCTCACAAAAGGACATTAAAAAGGCGTATTACCAGGTCAGAGACGCACGTTCAACATCTACACAGTCGACTAGTTTGTCATTAAAAATAGTTTTGTTGAGATTTAATAAAGCAACAGGATCGTGAGGTCTACTTTTAACAAGCTGTTGAATCTTCTTACTCCCTGCTCTTCTTCTCTGTTCTCTCTGTTTTCTGCACATTTTTATTCATGTTAAATCATCTCTCACCAGTTGGCAAAGAAGTACCACCCGGACACCAACCCGGACGACCCAGGGGCCAAAGAGAAGTTTGCCAAACTGGCTGAAGCCTATGAGGTAAAAAACAAAGTCAAGATTATAGTTCCCTCTTCTAACGAGGAGAAGATAGAAGTTGAGCAGCAGCATCAGGTTGTAATTGTCTCTCTCTGTGTGTAGGTGCTGAGCGATGAGGTGAAGAGGAAGCAGTATGACACGTACGGAGCGGCGGGATTCGACCCCAGTCGAGCCGGGGCCAGCCAGCAGCAGTACTACAGAGCCGGGGGGACGAGTATCGATCCTGAGGAGCTCTTCAGGAAGATCTTTGGAGAGTTTACTGGAGGGATGGGCTTCGGAAATATCAACAACATGTTCGAACAAAGCCCAGAGGTAAGAACTCATTAAGTTTTATCCTTAATGTGTAGTTGTGTTTTATAGCCAAACATAATAATGAGGATGGAAGAGGCCAGTGAAATATGAATGTCAGTTTTGCGCGTCTCTGTCTTTCCCTAGTTTGTGATGGAGCTGACGTTCACAGAGGCAGCAAAGGGAGCGAATAAAGAGCTGAGTGTGAACATCGACGACTCCTGCACAAGGTGTGATGGGAAGGGCAGTGAGCCGGGCACCCGAGTGTCACAGTGTCACTACTGCAACGGCACTGGCATGGTGAGTTTCAGAGCCAGATGTGTATGTGAGGTCGTCTGCAGGACCCCTGACGAGCTTTTGTTTAATCACGTCAGGCTCCGATTGTTCCGTCAGTTCGATTTTCTCTCAGGATATATGCACATCGCTGTCTGTGTCGCCCCCTGCAGGAGTCAATCAACACTGGTCCCTTCCTGATGCGCAGCACCTGCAGACGCTGCGGTGGGAAGGGATCCATCATCACCACGCCCTGTGCTCTGTGCCGAGGGTCAGGTCAGACTAAGAAGAGGCAGACGGTCACTGTGCCCGTACCTGCTGGTAGGTTTTCATCCTGGAAGCTTTAATTTCTTTGACAACTGTACTAAACGTGTTGATCCTCTTGGATTCTCAATGTTTTTTAATCTTTGTAAAAAAACTGTGAATCTGTGCATCTTTAAAAGATCCACACATTGATTTGGACATATTTAAAAAGATTTATCTGATATTTGTCTCACAGGTGTGGAAGATGGTCAGACAGTGCGCATGTCAGTAGGTATAAAAGAAATCCTCATTACATTTAGGGTAAGTTTTTCCTGTTATATGTCTTTTTATATTAAATCAAATTTCAATCAAATGTGATGAAATAAATGTATTCATTACATCCAGAGTATCAGGAGACACTGAACATCAGCGAATGTATGAGAGAAGTTTGATGTGTTAAAAGTAAAAACATCTCCGTGCAGGTCCAGAGGAGTCCAGTGTTCAGGCGCAATGGAGCAGACATACACTCAGACATGCCCATTTCTATAGCTCAAGCCATCCTGGGGGGCACGGCCAACGCACAGGGCCTCTACCAAACCATCAGTGTAGTGGTGAGTGAACAGAATATATTATCTTTTAGATAGATTTGATGAGTCAGTCATTTTGTGACGGGCACTCTAAATTTGCAGGTTTCAAAATCTTTAGCAGGAGCTACTTCACTGAAAACTTTGAAATCTCTACCTCATGACCTCAATTAAGAAATGTTAATGGGTCAGTAGAGCTATTGGGGGAACACACAATGAGCTAAGTGCTAAGTTAAAACCTGTGTTCCCATCATGCAGCTTTGCTCCAGAGGTTTCGATACTCATGCAAATTCGTATCATATAATTTGAGGATCTCAAACTCATACAATTCCTCTCGTTGGCTGAATGTTTTCTTTCCATCGGTTGCGAGCTTTTGCCCTTTAGCCCGTGCAGAGAAAACACTGTGAACAGAATGGATCTCAGAGCACAGTGGTGCTTTTGTGGCATTGTAGCCAAAAGGACCTTTTAGCAGAATGGTAGTGATGTGGTTTTTCCATTTTACTGCTGAATGAAGACCACATGCACTTCTCCCAGAACACTGATGCCCGTTCATTGTGCGTGTTTTCAGATTCCCACCAGTTGTCAGGCCAATCAGGTGATCCGGCTGCAGGGGAAAGGTATTCGGAGGATGAACAGCTACAGCTACGGAGATCATTATCTTCACATCAAGATAAGAGTCCCCAAGTAAGAAGCTATAAATCTATGTTGGGCTGCTCAGTAAAGCTTGTGGTTTTAGATTCATGAGAAACTGAGAAACATCTGGACCGCTGTGATTTATACATTTAAAATTTTGAAAACGTTTTAATATGAAAATGTTACAATCAGGGCCGTGTGTGTGTGTGTGTGTGTGTGTAAATACTCGGTCGACACTGTATTTGTATATTTTAACTGTATCTGGTCTGTTTTGTTTTCCTGCAGGAAGCTGACGCGTCGACAGCGCTCTCTGTTGCTTAGTTACGCTGAGGAGGAGACGGACGTGCAGGGAACCGTCAACGGCGTGGATCTTTCAGCAGGTCAGGGACAGGAGTTCAACTCCACCTTTTTAAATGGAGACATTTTCTCCAGCCTAGTGTGGATGGACACACAGACACAACCAGTCTCTGAGGTCTGAGGTCTTGTGATGCCATCAGTTGTAGTGTTAGTAGTTGAGCTGATCCAGTGCGTGTGTCTGTGTCCAGGAGGGGGCAGCGGCGCTCCAGGATCTGGTGCGAAGGCGACCAGTTCAGAGGAGGGACAGGAAGAGCAGAAGGAAGAGGGAGGATTCTTCTCTAAACTAAAGAAAATGTTTAGCTGACACTCTGCTGCAGGTGGGGAATTAAACACTTCACTCCTTCATCAGTAGACATGTTGATTTATCGGGAACATCAACAGTGCACAGAGTCTTCAGTGAGTTTAAGCAGACAGTCAATGTTCGGCTGTGCTTTTATACGAGGACAGAAACTGTCGTTCTAATCCACGAGGAAACACAAAGTCTGTGAACTTTACAAATGGAAGATTACACAGCTTTTCAGTGGCAGAAGCTCTGGGATGATTCAGATATAAAACATAATTAAAAACTTATCACGCTGATGTACATGTTGGTGTTCATGTTTTATTTTAATTCCTTATTTGATGTTATGATAACTGCACAGACTCAGACGGCAGCGGTCGTATCCAGGATATTTTGTCTCGATTTCTAAATAGTGAGAGGAGGTGGAGAAGTGTCGTCCATCTTTTCATACACTCCATGGTTTTCCATTATAGAACTGCAGGTTATAAATATTTCTGCTTAGCGGAGAGGATCTCAAAACAGCCGCAGCTTAAAATCCACTTTGTTTTTAAGCAGCATTGATGTTGTCTAAATTTTGCTTCAGTTTTGTACATTTTTTTACAGGCAAAAAAAACCCAACGTAGAAAATGGAAGAAAAGAAATCCACTGAATGCTCCTGCACGCCGTCTCCTCCTGTGGGGATGAAGCGAGGAGGAGTAAGAGAGAGAGAGAGAGGCATGGGGATTTTTGTGTTGACACAGTCGCACATTGTTGAAGCTGCGGTCGGCAAACAGGCCACGTAGATGTCACGTCCACCCACACACCCACTGATCCGTCACCACACACAGGTGCTGCACGGACAAAGAAAAGAAACGCGACGGAGACGGACGACTGTTGTGGCGTAACTCTCTTCTTCTAACTCTGCTGACTGAAACTTCCCTGCCCCTCGAGTCACGAGGCGTCAGTCCGTCACTCTCTGTTCAGTGAAACCAGGAAAATGGCGACAGAAGTTTATAGTCAGCCAGGACAGTAACAGGCGTTTGCATGGATTGTAACAGGACAACAAGCAACGCATTGTCGGGGTTTGAGGAAGTAAATTGCACCGTGACGGTTTTATTATTTAATCTGTTACTCTGTTTATGGGAACCACAGCGTTGTAGAAAACTGATGTGTATGAAATGAAGGTTGTTTGGAAAGTTCCTGAAAAGGTCTGTTAAATTTTTCTCTCGTTATATTACAGCTGAATTGATTTTCTAACCCTTAACAGTGAATCAGCTCAGCGTGAAGTCAGGGGACATGTTTTCCACAGCGCAGCAGTCGATTCTGCTGGAGAATAATAATATTTACATGGGTTTATTTATTAGAATTTCTTTCCAGTCGTTAAGATTTTCATGGTTCTTTGGGAAGAAAATCAACAAACGACTCTTATTTAATGGAGAGTTTAATTGTTTTGTCCTAAGAAATTCTCTATTTCCTCTAAAACTCAAATCACATTCCTTTGCCAGTCCCCCGTTTAATATAAGATTTAAATAAAATATATTTTTAGGATCTACACCAAATTTCACACACTCGGACATCATTTTTTCATCTAGATGAATTATTCCCTGACAAACAAAAATGTTGAGAAAGGCCCAATCTCAAATTGTTAAAGACTTTAATTTATCTTTCTTGTGTCACGTCCCACCCCTGCACAATATTTCATGGAAGTTGTTTGAGTAGTTCCGTGTAATTCTGCTAAATTACAAACGCCCTCCTTGGCGTATTCAATCCTTTCTTCAGGAAATAACAGGATTTTTATGTATCCAGTACAATAATCATGTATTTCCCATTTCCCCTCCATGAAATTGCTGAATAAACACATTGCAGTGCTGCTGACTCTGACTTCATGTTGCATTCTTTTCTGAAGGAATGAAAACAGTAAAAGTGGGAACCCTGATTGTGAATATTTGTTGCAGTGAAATCCAGACTGACTTGATTTCATTATGTTTGTTGCATCTGTGAGTGGCAGCAAGAAAAACATTAAATAAATACGTTTTTAAACTGGACGTTAACCTGCAGTGCTGAAGCGCAACCAATGGAGGACAGTGTTGACGTGATGGACTGCAGCTCTAACTCTGTCACTCACTCGCTCAGACTCTGGGTTAGGGTTAGGGTTAGGGATGAAAACCTATAGGAGTTCAAGATATTGTTCAATAACTTTTTTTCTGAAGGTCATAGAGACTTGGAAGTTGGTTCCATCTCCACTAATGTGGCT